GGAGAAATGGTGAAGGGTCTATGGGAATTCTCTGTATTACTTTGCAACTTTTCTGTAAGTCTAAAATTATTCCAAAATAAAAAAATTGATTAACAAAGGGAGAGTCACACAGGCTTGTATTGTATCCAAGGCATCTTTGGCTGCCAGAATCTTTTTGTTCCAGAAGAATTCAGGTTCCTACCAAGCTGCTTTGCTCTGAGAGCTCTGTCTGTGGCCTACAGTCCCCCCACACATAGAGACCCCTACCTGGCCTCCTGAGGTTTACAGGGATTATCTAAACCAAGCCTGGGTGTAGCTGATCGCCCCTGCGTTCTGCTCTGGGAATCAGAGAAGTAGGCACACCCTGCCTCTGCTGCAGCTGGGCCAGCTTCTCAGAGACCCCACAGCTCCCATGCCCTCCAGCACCTCCTTTTTTTGAAATCTATATCCTTTATCTAACACATACCCTGCCTTCTCAGCATCCCCTTCCAGTCAAGAATAGCAAGGATATGGCTCAGGAGTGAGGTCCGGGGCTGTGTAGGTGTAAGGAGAGGTGTAAGGGTCTGACAGTGGCAACATTGAGCTCATAATTAAACAAGATGCACAAAATCTGCACCCTCTCTCACCCTTGACCTCATTGCTAGTGGCCCCGGTGGGAGGAGCTGGCCAGATGGCATCAGGAGCATGCTGCCAGACACTGCCTTCTCTCGGGTCCTGCAAGTCTTCCTAGGTGCAAGGCCTTCCCTGACCGAAAGCGCCTGGGGAGAAGGGGCTGAGCCCAGGGTGACCACGTGCCTCTCCTCCGTTCAGGCTCCACTTCCTGGTGTTCGACACGGAGGAGGTGCATGACGTGCTGCGCATCTGGGATGGGCCCGTGGACAGCGGGGTCCTGCTGAAGGAGCTGAGCGGCCCCACCCTGCCCAAGGACCTGCACAGCACCTTCAACTCAGTCGTTCTGCAGTTCAGCACCGACTTCTTCACCAGCAAGCAGGGCTTTGCCATTCAGTTCTCAGGTCTGTGCTCACCCGCTGCCAGCCCCCTCTCCATCTGTCCTGCCATTGGACACCCACCTCCCTGATTCCCTCCTTGCCTCCATCTCTCCATTCATGTGAAGATATTTATTGAGCACCTGCTATGTGCCTGGTACCTGATTAGTGCTTATTCAAATATCCGTGCTGAGCTTACTCTGATGGGGAAAACAGGCAGGTTAATAGACACTTACATACAAACTGGTAAGTATCTGGATGGAGAAATATAGGCTACAATGGTCACCTTGGAGCATCAAGGAAGATGTTCCAGAAAAGGAGATATCCAAGCTCAGACCTGAGGGGTAAGTAGGAATAGAAGTTACTCAAGAAAAGAAAGTATTTCAAGAGGGGAGTGGTTATCTATGACACAGAAAAGTGCAACTGAGTAGGACTTTGGAGATCGGTGGACCCCTATGAAATGGAAAAAAGAGAAAAGAGCATCCTAAGTGCAAAGAACACATGAACAAGCACAGAAGCAGGAAAGTGGAGGGCTGTCCCTTGTGGTTGAAGCATGGGAGTGTGGAGGGACGCAGGGGAGACACAAGTCAACCATGCTTTGGGGCATAGTTATAAACGAGCTGATACAACTTGCCCATGCTCAGGTTCTCTGTTTAGTGTGGGTCTCAGTAAGGACTGGAAGCCAAACACTAGTAATCTAAATTCAATTAATTACGTACTGCAGTAGCCAACTATGGAGGAGAGTGACAACGGGCTACCCAAAGTGGGCAGTGCTTAAACATTCAAGTCCCAATATTAGATGATTTATATGATTGGTCTCCCCAATCGTATGATGCCTCTCCCCGGAATGCATCATCTCTCCTCCTCTGAAGTGCCTCTCCATCATTCCTCCCCTGAGCAAGAGCCGCTGCCCTGGCTTCTGCTTACATCTATTCCACAGCAGCTATCTATCATTATCACCATCTCCTTTCTCCACTGTGGGGGAGGGGAGTTCCGTGGGGATTCCGGGGCAAGCCCGTGTGGCACCTGTGCTGTGGCTTTACCCACACACTCTCCCCCAGTTGGTGTATCAGCCCAGGGTGGTTACCGTACATTCCTGGTATCTGTGAGGCTGTAACAGCGTTGCAAATCCTACTTCTAGCTCTTTTATGCATCTGTCTTCTCTGTGGAGATGAGCATTTAGCAGTGTGGGGGCAGATGAGGGTCTACAGGGTCATATTCCTCTATACTTATTAACTTGCCCACTTAACACTTGTGCAGGCTTTCAGCCTAGTATTTTCCATCTGTTCCCAGGAGTTCCACAGAATATTAATTGGTATTGCAAGAAAAAGAGGTTTGCGTGATTAAGTAATGTCGGGAAAGTACTTAGGTGTAGGCAGGCCTAAAGAAATTATCTGTAATGTGGGACCTCTGAGAACATTTAGTATGCTAATGAATATAAATTCAAAAGGTGTCTGGTAGGTCACAATTTCCAAACATATTTGACCATGGATGACTTTTTTTGAGGCCATCTCAAGAGCCTGGCATTTCATGCAGCAAACTTTGGAAATTGCTGGGATGAGCAGTGGAAGGGTCTCCCAGAGCAGCAAGGAGGGTAGAATGCTGGAGACGTGGCTCAGCCCACTCTCTGGGGAAAGGAGTGTTATGAATAATTAAAACCAGCCATGTATTTTCTCCAACTGTGCCCAACTGATTGGTATGGCTTTTAAAAAAAAAAAAAAGTCCATAATTGTACTGACAAATTCCCCCACAAATTTGCATTATCTGACCTCCACTGCGTCCTCAGTGCAGCCACGTGGGACAGAGTCCCTGGGTGCTTTCCTGCGGCTGTGCCTTCACTCAGGCTGCTTTGTCATGCATTGCCCAGCTTGGAGAAGTCCTGTTCATCCTTCAAGGCTCATCTCAGATGTCACTGCCTCCTAATCACCCCATTCAGAATAAACTGCTAAAGCGTGTGGCACCTCCAGCACTTTCCTTCTATTTCTTCAGCACATTGTCAATGTCAGACATTCTGCCTTGTCTTGGAGCTGGTCTCCTACTTGCCATCCCACCAAAGCTCTTGGAGGGTCAGGGCCACATGGCCCTCGGACTCCCCCATAGCGTATGCATGCAGCAAGTGCTCACTCACTGCTTAGTGAACAAATGGGCACGTGAAGATGTGAACACATGAATGGACAGTTTTCTCTAACACGAGGGTCTCCCTGGGCAAGCTGCCCTGAGCATTGCTTAAGCCCACAGAGAATGGAGCAGTCAAAGCTACCTAGCCTGGGCTCCAGAAAGGCCATGACAACCCGGCCCAGTGTTCTAGACATAACCGAGGTTTGGGAAAGGTCACCTTTCCTGTTGCTGTCATTGGTTAGCAAATACCAGGACTACTCTAGGGAGGAGAGAATGGCTCACCCCATGTTAACTTTATAGTGTGTGTTTGACAGGGAATTGTACAGAAATGCCAGAGACGATTAGTGCAGCCTTGGCTTTATTAAGTAAACATGACTGTGTAACATCTAACATCCTGTCTGTACCACATGGATCCAGCCTTTCCCTGGGGGCTTTGCCAAGCAGCTCAAATTCAGGAGCACTCAAGAGAGAAAGTGAGAACAAAAAAGGTGAGCAGGAAGCAGAATCGCAGCCATCTATTGAGCGGGCACCACACTAAGCACTCCACTACATCGTTTCTTATAATTTCACAAAAACATTAAGGTATGGGCACCATTATTAATCTGTGTTGCAGATGTGGGCTCTGAGCTTTCTCATACAAGGTCATCTAGCTCATAAGTAGCAGAGTCTGGATCAAAACCAATATGTCTGATTCCCAAACCTAGGCTCTTAATCATTGCACTCTATTGCCTCCTCTATAAATAATCTTTCCGAGTATGGTCAGAACAGTGAGCTATTTTTCTTCTAAGGAATCATTTACATGTGTACAGTGCACTGTAAAGAGAGAGATGAAAGCTAAGTCTGTTTTTAATTGAGAAGGAAAAATATTGATTCTTATTTGACTTCATAAATAAATTCAGGAGGTGTCAGCTGGTGATGATTTGTTCGTTCATTCATCTATTCAACAAATATTTACTGAGCACTATTGTGTACTGCGTACTGTTCTAAGCCCTGGGGATACAGTTGGGAGAAAAACAGCCAAGGTCCCTGTTCTAGAGATACAGGAGTGGTATACAGTAAAGAGGCAAACAAATAAATTAGCAAGATTACTGCACATTGTGCTGTGAAAAGAACAAAACAGGAGAATATGATGAAATTGTTGGAAGGGGGTTAAGGGAGGATTCCAGAAGAAGGTGATCAAAGAGGCCTGTCTGAGGAGGTAATATTAGAGCTAAAACTGAATGACAAGATAGAGCTGGCATGGGAAGGTCTGCAGCAGGTGCAAAGGCCCTGGGGGGAGAAAGGGAAGGGGGAATTGAGCGTGCAGCGTTGGAAGACTTTACAAACGTGTCTGGAGCATAGTGATAGCAGATTGTTGATGGTGTTAATTATAAAAGCTGGATAAAGGCAAAAGAGAGGTTTTAAAATGTAATCTCAAAAGACAAGTGCTTAAGATAGGATGCCATATACCAGGAGTTGGCAAACCTTTTCTGTAAGAGACTAGTTAGTAAATATTTCAGGCTTTGTGGGCCATATAGTCTCTGTCATAATAACTCAGCTCCAGCATGAAAGCAGCCGTACACAATATGTAAACAAACTCACTGTGTTTCAATAAAACTTTATTTACAGAAATAGGTATAGAGCCAGATTGGGCCGTGGGCCGTAGTTTGTCATATACTGCCTTAGGTGTCATTGAGTATAAAGTATTAGATCCTATAACTCCAGACTTGTCCACACAATCCTAGATCTCATAGTTTGTGACATTAGTATGTACAGTGCCATACACTGGTGCTTCTCAGACTTCTCCACTGAAATCCTCTTCATAGCAGAAGAGAATGGGTGCACATCCCCAGGAGGCCTGGAGGGCGTAGCAAGCACAAAATCTCTTTGAGGCTTCATGTTTTTGCTTAAAAACTCATGTGAATTTCACTTTCTACTTAATAAAGTTTGGGGTTTTAGTGTAGAAGTAATTTTTCCCAAAATTTTTTAGAAAAACATTGCAAGTAAATCCCATGGACTCCAGGACCTCTCGCCTCTGGGGTCTGCCAAATGACGTGTATGACATGGCTGGGGACCAGGCCCTGCTGTCAGCTCCGGGCTGTGGAGGCAGCTGGGGTCATTGCAGCTGTCTCAGAATCCTTTCTCTGGACTTGCTCTTACGCCGTTTCCTCTGGTGCATTTCCTCAGGCCGTATGTGTTCATTCATTCACTCACTCAGCTCCCCTTTATTCCTTCCTTCCACCATTCATTCAGTGTTCACTTTTAAAACACCTGCTCTGTGTTAGGCCAGGTTAGGTACTAGACCACAAACATCTCCTAAATTCCTGAGCTTTTTGATTTTTAATGCATCTCAGCTACTTATGTTTGTTTTGAACTCTGCTCTGCCACTTGCTACAAATACCAGGCTTTCCCTTGAACATGTTTTCAGTCTCATGGATCCTTGGTCGTTTGCCATGCAAGAGAGAGCACGGTCTTCACCCAATTTCAGTAACTGCCTGCATCTTCACAAGCACTGCCCAGCATTCAGGCGGGCCAACTCCCAGACTCCTTCTGATTGAGTACGCAGAGTTTTTACTTAATTATCTTGTCGCTCCCTTATCCTGATCATGTTAGTTACATTACCCAAAATCGCAAAGCTTTGTCCATGTAACAATGCTTGTATTCTTAAATCAAACTGAACTCAACTCTACAGTCCTAACAATGCAATCATGCTTAACTCAGGACAGGTTGACAACGGTAATGGGGAAGGCACTGGGAGAAGGGTGGTGGTGACATCAGTGAGAGTGACAGTGTGTGATCACAAGTGGCGATGGAGGCAGAGACAGTAAGGGGGTGAGAACAGTGGCTCTGTTGCTGCAGCTGATGGTGGCAGGCAATGGTGGTCACAGCAGTAGCACTGGTGAAAATATCAGTGAGGATGACAAGCTGGGAGCCTCGCTGTCTGGCAGACACCTAGACAACCTCACTCCCTCTTCTGTTTCCTTATCCCAGTGTCCACAGCAACATCCTGCAATGACCCTGGCGTGCCGCAGAATGGGAGCCGGAGTGGCGACAGTTGGGAAGCGGGTGACTCCACGGTGTTCCAGTGTGACCCTGGCTATGCACTGCAGGGAAGTGCAGAGATCAGCTGTGTGAAGATCGAGAACAGATTCTTCTGGCAGCCCAGCCCACCAACGTGCATCGGTACAAAGCAACTGCCGGGTGCACGCTGCCCTCTGTTCTCAACGGTTGTGTGCTCCAGACCCCTGCACACGAGGGGCAGCTGCATCTGAAGCCTGGGGCCAGGAGAATTGGAACAGCTAAAAGTTGTAGAAAACCCAAAGTTTACCCTTCTTTCCCTGCATGTGGGGGCACACACACTCACATTCACACTTTCACACCCTATACACACACAACACTACAAATCTTCACTTGCTAAAATGGTCCCAAAGATTTTCAAGCCCAGCAGGTATGTCTCTTTCTCTACAGCCCAGGCTGTATAGATTGGAAGGGGGACGATGGGTCACCTTGGGTGGTAAGTATCAACAGTTTCCAAAATGACCCTTCAATTACCTGAAGCTCTAGAAGGGCACCCACAGGCTCAGGGTATAAAGGAAAGAAGCTTTCTCTTCCTCTTCTCAAGGAAACTATTGCTCAAGGGTTTTGGTTCTGTAGAACTCTCCTCAGTCTTGAAATCTTCCCATTTGACAGATGAAGAAACAGAGGCTCTGAGACTAGTCCGAAGTCATGTAGCCTGTAAGGGGTGGGGCCTGAATAGTCCTACTTGAGACTGGAAGGAGGAGGGAACTTGAAGGGAGAGGGGGACAGGAAAGAAAGAGAAATAGATGGAAACTCAGGTGCTCACTACAAAGTGGCTCTTTTTCTCAGGTGAAATAATGAACACATGTGGGTTTTAGAAGAGAGGAGAACCAGTGATCGAGTCCTTACTGTGTGCCACTCCACACTGAACATTTACCTACATAACCTCATGTAACTCCCTATGGCGTGCTGAAATTAGCACCATTTCCTTATTTACACTTGAGGAAACTGAAACTTAGACAAATTTGGATATCTTGCCCCAAATCACAGAGCCAAGATTCACGCCCACACCAGCCTAAATGCAAAGCCTGTCATTTTCCTACCTCCCACGCCTTCTTGCCTGCTGGAGATGGGCTCAGGGGGCTTTGGGAGACATCCCCAGCAGCGGCCTGCGCCTCCTTCCACACACGCCCAATGAGAGGCACTGTCCAGGCATCTGAGGACTGGCCTGTGTCGGTCATGGCTCTGAGGCCTGGCCCTGAAGGTGAGACACTAGATCTATGTGGCAGGAACACACTGAGTGTACAGGGACAGGAGTTTGAGACCTGGGCCCCAGCACCAGCTGGGTTCTTAGCTACCTATTGCGATGTGCAGGAAAGAGTGCGGGGTATTCAAGCAGACACGGCTGGGTTTAGTTTCTGGCTCTGCCATTGACTAGTTCGGTGGCTTTGAGAAAATTGCTTCAACTCTCTGAGCCTCAGTTTCCTCATCTGTGAGGGTAAATATACTTCCCTATGTCATCGTGGGGTGAGGACACCTGACCCTAATCCAGGAAATACTAATTTCCTTCCCTCCTTCCTTCCTTCCTCTCTCCTTCCTCCTTCTCTTCTTTGTTTTCTTTTGTCAAGTTTTTTTTTAGTATAAGATACTGTATTCACTCAAAACTATTATCACTGTAATAACTTAATGCTATAATCAAAAAAATGCAAATTGTCAACTTTTTGGACTCACTTCTCCTTCCTGAGCCAGAATTACATCTGGTCAGGCCCGAATCAGATGACCTCTAAGACCCCTTCCAAATTCAACGTTCTACAAGGCTGTGATTCTTTAGACTTACTGCACAGAGCAGCAGGTCCGGAGACGAGAGCGTCCCAGGTGGAGAAGGATGCTGAGTGTGTTAAGCTGATGGGATCAGTAAATGTGCAGTGAGCGGGGCAGAGAGGTTAATTCAGCTTTCAATGCCCATTCTTCTCCACTCAGCTTCGGGAAACGTTCCTTAGGCAACAAAATAAATATCTTTGTCTCTTCTCTCAAACAAACTGGAAATCCCAGGGACAGGCCCCTAATTTCCAGCTCCCTTGGCAGTCTGCCATGAGTGGATCTAGCTGGCCTTGATAGCCCTTCATTATAGGGAGAAAGCAAAGGAAGAAAACAAATATCAAGTGTCGTCCCCATGGTAGGCACTGGGCTGGACGTTTTAGCTACATTATCGCAATTTAGATCACCATGTGGTGCGTTTAAAGCTCGGGTTCCAGATTCCAACTACCTGGGTTCGAGTCTGCTTCACCACAACAAGCTGTGTGGCCTTAGACAAGTTACTTAACCTCCCTGTGCCTTAATTTCCTCACCAGCAAAATAGGGAAAACAAGAGTACCGCTCATAGGATTGTTTTGAGGAATAAAAAAGATAACACTGTGAAGCACTTAGACCCTGCCTCATTCGTAGTAAATACTGTGTATGTTAGAAGCCATTACCATTGTTATTATTCTTTTTTTTATTTTTTAGAAGAGGAAATGGAGGTTCAGAGAGGCGGATGACCTGCCCAAACTCCCACAGCTAGTGAGTGGCGTTGATGGAATTTCAACTCAGGCCAGTGTGACTTCCAAATCGATTGCCTTTTCACAGCTCTGGCCCCTCAGTATAACCCTCCCACTTCTTGGCCATCTGGGCATCCGTGGTTTAGTAAGCTCTACCATACCCCTCACTGGCCCGAAACAGCTGGTGAAACAGCCCCAGAGTCCATCCATAGTCTTGGGGCACAACTGGCAGAGGGCCACAAAGCCCATGCCAGGGTCCTGGGTGTCTGAGACCAGGGAGCCCTACAAGAGAGCTGTGCCAGGGCAGAGGTCTGGAACCACACAGGTAGCACTTCAGGGGCTGGAGGAAGAGTCACAGGGGCAATCTCAGAAACACCCCAATTCACCCCGTGTGTGGCAGACTTAAGGGAAGAAACCCAAGCTGGCAAAGGGAGGTCAAGCCTGGTAGCCCTTGCCCTGAACGGAGGCATCGTTGTGGCCCTTGGGAAGATTCTCGGTTCTCGCTGACTACAACAGACCCCATCACTAGGCTGACCTGGGCAGGGCCACTCTCTGGAGTGGGCCTTGCAGTCTTGCTTTGGTAAGTTCAGAGTTTTATCCAGCCTGTCCCATTTATCCAACCCGCTGCTCCAGAGAGGGTTCAAAGCAGAAGAGGCGGGTGAGATCGAAGCAGATCGACTCAAGGAAACATCCTCACTCCTAGAAGCTGTTGCAGCTGGGGCTTCAGCCCCACAGGCCAGCAGGAGGAGCAACCCTCACTACCCCACTTCCACCAGTGACTCAGGCAGTGTAGACGAGTGAGAAAACGGCGGACCTGGGAGCCAGACCAGGGCTGGAGTCTCAGAGGGACTCTGGGCAAGTTGCTTCACCTCTCTGGGCCTCACTTTCCTCCTTCATAAATCAGGAAGAATAATCCATAGTTCACTGAGTTGTTAGTGAGATGTAAATGAGATAATGTATCTAAAATGCCGTACGCCATACTGACATGTAACAGGTGCCTGTGTGGGTGTTTCTGGTACACGAGCTTTGGGATATATTTTCCAATGGAAAAAACACAGTCCTCATGACCATTCGGGTTTTATACTCAGCGAGTCAGGGCTTTTATGGCCTGACCTGAAGACCTACCATTTTTTAGAGAGCCTGTCAGGGACTGACAGCCCTGAAGCCTCACCCTGAGTACGAGCCACAGCGTGACACAGTAAAGCTCAGCTCTGTGACCGGCAAGTGCTGCTTCGGGGCTTAGCCACACCTTTTGGCTCCCCACTTGCTGTCCCATCTTGGACTTTGTGGCCACCCCTGAAACAGCTCTCTGGGCTCCTCCTGGGCTCTCCATTTGCTGACTCCACAGCCAGATTCCAATGGTGTCCTGCCAAACCAAGCCACGGTTATAGTCTCAGCCATCTTTCCTTGGTAATGACCCCACACACTTCCCAGCTTCTGCTCTTTCCAGCCTTCATGCCCGAGGAAAACAACAGCCCTGCCATTTAGGGGCAGACCTGGTTCAGGATCTGGGGAAGCTGCTCAGAAGGTGCCTGGGTGAGTGGCTTGGTGCATCACCCAGCCACCTTCCCCTCCTGCCTGCTTGAAAGGCCTGTCATCTCAGGGAAGGCCACCACTGTGGACTAATTGGGGATTTGTAGTATTGCCATGTAGCTGAGGTACACACTCTTGGACGAGGCCTTCTGGAAAGCTGGAAGTTATCTGTGGCCCCAAGTGGGTGCCAAGAGCAGTGGCCATGTGGGTGCCAAGAGCAGTGGCCATGTGGCCCCAAGCGGGTGCCAAGAGCAGGGCCACCACGCTTGGCAGGGGAACGTGGTCGTGTTTTCCACTCCTCCTGACCCCGAGTGCACTGGAACTCACCACACGTACCCAGAAAGTATGCCTGGGAAGCACGTGTGAGGCCGTGGAAGGGCACCATGTATTTCATGTGTCTGAAAGGCAGTGAAGCTCCATTATCAAGTGTTTACACCAAATGCTTTAGCAGACATCTCCAGTAATCTTTACAACCATCCCACAAAGAAGATATTATCTCTTTTTACAGTAGAGAAAGACTGAGATCCAGAGAGGATAGGTATATTCTCTAAGATCATACAGCCAGGAAGTGGCAGAGCCAGGTATTTTTAAAAGTAATTTATTGAGATGAAATGCACATAACGTAAAATTACTCATTTTAAAGTGAACAGTGTCGTTTGGTACCTTCACAATGTTGTGCAAACACTACTGCTGTCTAGTTCCAAAACATCTCCATCTCTCCAGAGTAAAACCCCATCGTTCCGCCCTCTCCTCAGCCCCTAGAGCCAGGTTTTAACT